TTCCAACCCTAAAAATTTTTTAATTAATTTTAACACCCACAACCCTAATGTTTTGGTCCATCTTTAATCCCGGTTTGGGTGGTTTTTTTTTTTTTATTTATTTTTTTTAAACATTTTTTTTTTTTTTTTTTTTTTTTTTTTTTTTTTTTTTTTTTTGATATTTTGAAATTGAAAAAAGATGCAAAAAGTCAGCTGTGCCCTGTAACCCCGGCCGCTGGTTGAACAGGACACCTCCGCGATTTTTACTCCCAGGACTCCGGGGCCCCTAAGGGGGCCGTCCCGATTAATTGCTGAATTGTTATCGGACTATATGACCTAAACCCACGTACATATATTTTTCAACATTTACATTACCCTGCCTTATGTAGATACTTAAATGTCTTAATGCAAATACTGCAATATGATATTTTCCCTCCACGTTCTTTAGTTAGAAATCAGCTAAAAAATTAAACGGATCGGCCCGGATGGGGTTCGAACCCATGCCTTTCTAACCTCAACCTCTCATCTGAGTATGATATTTAGAGCCGCAACACGATGGAATACCTTTCCACTACGCCACCACTCTACACTGTCTTCCTACCTACATTCAAACGCCACCAAGAAAATCATACTACGTGTCGCCTCCACGATTTGACGTCTCCGTAATATACTCCGCTATCTTGATCTCTTACCTACCTGTTTGATAAATGGGATAACCTTTGAAGGTTCCACGATGACGACTTAGAACTTCCATTTCCCCATCTTTGTGTAATAGTCCTCTAAAGTCGGTGTAATCGTGCGCCGTGTCGATGAGGCTTAAGGCAAGCTGCCGAAGATTGACATGCATTAGCGCTGTCGGACCACATAACCTGGCCTGGTAGATCAAGCGTTTGTTTCGAAGATATTAGCAGTTTACGCGTCTTACAAGATCCCGCCTAGGAAAATTCGCGTGCGCCACCGCAGATATTGCAATAATATAAGCAAGACTTACAGCATCGTAAGACTGTGGTACAGCAGGGTCGATCACGAACACCTTCACGTTGTTACCGTAAACAGTCTCCTACAGGGAATTTGCTTTTGAGCGTGCAGAAAAGATAGACCAGGAAATTCTACTAAAAGTGACGAGACAGTTTATGTTGGATGGATCCGTAGATGTATAACGTGGCAAGTCATCGTACAACTTGATGTGTGAGTACCTATCGGATGCAGTGTCAAGGTGCAGATAGTCGTTCTAGGTACTCAATGTGATAAAATTCGAAGGACAAGAAGACTAGGTATTTGACTAGGTTTCTCACACCAGATATATGGATATCCAGGGTGATTTAAGGAAAGGTCACTATGTTGGTGCTAGATGTTATGTGCGCGGCATGGAGTTTTCCTTAAAAGAAGAGTTGAGGTGGTGAAAGATCTTCGTCAGGGGAAATAAGGTTTAGCGGAGAATTAACTAAAAAGGCACCTAAAAAGGCACCTAAACTGTAAACTGAATTAGCACTTCATGCTTGTAAGGCAGCTGCACCTCCAGTCGCGGTTGGTCCGAGCCCGGTAAAGAAAAAGGGTACGTAGGTACCCACCTTCCTAGACCGGAATCAAATTGCCGATCTGGATCTAGGCGCTAAAATCTATCCGTTAATTTGGCTTTGATTACTTCCACCAGATTCATCCCAGATTCATCCCCTTTCCATCCCCTTTCCAGTACTACCGCAAAATGCTGATCGCAGCTCGTATTATGCCAGGCACCGTCAACACATGCATCTTGTTTCGAAAAGGAGCCTCATTTTCTCAGGGTTTATTTGGTTCTTGGGTTGATCGCTACTACATTGCAGATCCTAAACATATGCTATATTTCCACGACCCAGCGATCTGGATTCCATCGCTGATCTGAGCCTGAGGATAGAATGGGCCAGGCCTAGTCAACTGAACACATCTCTATCTGGCCCTACAACCCCATGTGTACCTACTAAGGTAGTTTGAGCCATCCCGAGGAATGACTATCTAGTAACGTTTCGCGGATAAAGCCTCCGGTCGGTATGAAATAAATACCACTGTGAGCATACTAGGAAACCCGGAATTGAACTTGGTACCTACATAAGGTAGGTTAGTGAATAAGACTTACTGATTTTTAAGGCCTCGCGTGTTATACTGTTGTATTATGTACATATCTACAAGGCATGAAGCGATAAAGAGAATTAGTTATATCATTTAAATGCAACAGCATGGCATGGCCGACTTTCACCTGCCACGCAGACTGCCGATAATTTAAATTTAGTAGGGTACCTCGGTCAACGAATTAGCTGCCAACTGTTTCTGGATGTCTTGCTCTAGGAGGGTTAGTGTTCGGCCCGATGACCTCGACATGCCCCCACGATGTGCTCTCTTTAGAGTCAAGGGCAGAAATGTCGCGCGACCTCATGGATTCTATGCAGGTCTTTGTTCGGCTACCAGAAATCCTGCACTCAATATATCCCTCCAAAGGATAAACTACCTCATACATGCACAATACTTCTGACCTTATAGAAGTAGCTATAGCCGCTATGGTTACTATGTGGCGCTCCAAATGCAACCATCGAGGCATGATTGCGGAATACCTGCTCTTCAATTCCAAACCGCGCCTCTGATGCATAGACCCCCTCTACACTATCATTCTGTTTAACACTCGATATCTCTTACTGTGACGGCGTTGAGGGTTGAGAATTATCGGACGCATCGCAAGACGACTACTGTCGCGACTACCTACTCTTGAACCCAGTAACGTTGCAAATATAATCGATTCTATCAATGCAACCAAAGCTATAGCAGATGCGGGGTGTGCGGGCCAAGCTGGTCAGCCTAAGGTCTCATCGTCAACCTGACCTCGTCGAGGCAAGGGTAACAGGCAGTTGGATTGGAGGCGCCGCGGCCGAAGAACAAGCCCAATTTGGAAATGCCTTATCTCCCCGCGCCCAGAGAGTGGGCATGGCCTCGGAAGCTAATAATCCAAGCTTGACGTCTTGGCGGGGCTCAGACGGATGTATTATATCCTCCGTTCTGTGTGAGACATACTTTCTATATGTCTAACTAAATCTGCTACATTGCCCTTACGTCCGTTAACATGCACGCCCTTTAGAAATCAGTTGATCTTCTGCTGTAAATCAGCTTCCAAACAGCTTACATACCTCCGATATGACTATTGTCCCAAGATCTAATGTGGTCAAGTGATAGTGGGGTATGAGCTACGACTTGATGGGCGCGTACAACCCTGTGATAAGCTATTAACTTTTATGTTAATCTCGTCCAAAGAACTTTTAATGCTACTCTGATCTTGAATTTCCTGGCCTCCGATTGGCTGCGAACAACAGTTTCCCCTGAGTAAAAGCTCCCCTTCATTACCGCGACTGTCAAGGTCCTATTGTGCAAGACACATTCCAACGTCCACCTTCCGCCTATGGAATAGGGAGAGCGTGCACGAGGGATGCCGGGCTCCAACCTGTGTCCCCAGTGCCATGAAGCCCTCGCCAGCTTTACTTACTATCACGCTCATGACCGGGAACCAAACTTCTCAAGAAGGCTACAACCGGGAATATGATGGGATATACCTCTTTGAGAGCGTATCTATCTCGGTAAATGGTGGCAACGTTGCCGCCTGGTTTGAAGGTCTCCATGAATCCCATATCGAGCTCGTTGGTTTGGTAGTAATGGCCTTACTCCAAGCTCGACAGTCGGATGCTTCGATATGGTAGGTAGGTCGACATGGTTTCTTTGTAGTCACATCTTTGTACCACATGAGAGACACGCGGCCATGATGGTACCGTGCCGAAGTTGTGTCTTCCCTGGTCCTTCAACGATATAAATACATTGACATGTCAGTTTCTTATCCACGTTTTTGTTCACCAAGCCAGATCTCGACCAAGGGCAAAGCTTCAGTCTCGACTTTTCTAGTCACTTCATTCCTTAACAAACATCTATTCGGTCCTTATCCTTAAAGCTTTCTCATCATGGTTTCCGTCAAAGGTCTCCTTACGGCTCTCCTTCTTCAAGCCTCTCTTGGGCTTAGTAGTCCAATTGCTACGGTTGAAAAACGGGCTTCTGGTTTTCATAACAAAGTTTACTTTGTTAACTGGTTGGTTTACCAAATATCTTATGAGTAACCCTAGCTAACACAGCTACTATAGGGGCATTTATGGGCGGAACTACCAGCCAGCACAGCTCCCAGCCTCGCAAATCAACCAGGTTCTCTATTCGTTCGCGAATGTGAGGACTGATGGGACTGTATATGCGTCAGATACTTGGGCTGACACGGACAAGCATTACGATGGCGACTGTAAGTAATTAAGATATGCCATTCGTTAGAAACGCCAATCTAACGGACTTTAGCATGGAATGATTCCGGAAACAATGTATATGGTTGCGTCAAGCAGCTTTACTTGTTGAAAAAGGCCAACCGACATCTCAAGGTTCTCCTTAGTATCGGTGGTTGGACTTACTCTCCCAGCTTCGCGGGTGCAGCCAGCACGGACGCAACAAGGAAGACTTTCGCCCAAACTGCAGTGACTCTAATCAAGGACTGGGGTTTTGACGGTATTGACATCGATTGGGAGTACCCTGCCGATGATACCCAGGCTAGCAACTTTGTTGCACTCCTAAAGGCTGTCCGATCTGAGCTCGACTCTTACTCAGCCCAGTATGCCAACGGCTACCATTTTCTTCTCACTGCTGCAGTACCTGCCGGCCCGGCAAACTACCAGAAACTACACCTCAAGGATATGGCACCGTTGCTTGATCAATTCAACCTTATGGCTTATGACTACGCCGGCTCTTGGGACTCTACCTCTGGTCATCAGGCGAACATATACCCCAATCCTCAAAACCCGGTATCTACACCATTTTCAACTGATGCAGCTCTTTCTGCCTATATCAATGGTGGTGTTCCGAGTAATAAGTTGGTCCTTGGACTGCCATTGTACGGCCGCGCGGTATGTAACTCAAATATTCCCTTTTCTTATTGCCCCTCTTTGGGAATTAATATTACCCCTTTCCTGCCGAATCCTCCGGGGGTGATCAAATACTAGATATGTGCCAATATTTTGAGTATATTAATCAAAAGCAACTTCTAATTCTCGTTTTCGAATAGTTTGACGCCACCGACGGTATTGGCAAGCCTTACACCGGCATCGGCCAAGGCTCGTGGGAAGCTGGTATCTATGATTATAAGGTTCTACCACGAGCTGGAGCGCAAGAAATCTACGACGACGTGGCTGGCGCGACTTACAGTTATGACAGCTCGGCTAAGGAGTTAATTAGCTACGACAATGTCGACATGATCAAGAAGAAGATTTCCTACGCCCAGAGCAAGAGCCTAGGTGGCTCGATGTTTTGGGAGGCTTCGGGTGACCGAACAGACAGCGGCAGTTTGATCGCAGCCGCGTACAACTCTCAAGGTGGATCGGGCTCCTTTGACAAGTCGGAGAATCTCCTCAGCTACCCTAACAGCAAGTACGACAATATCAAGAACAACCTAAACTAGGTTCCTGTTTAGCTCAGGCTTTCTTTGCTCTGACTTCATGCGCGGTCATTTGATACGAGGGCTGGTGCCCCGTCTTAGAAGACCAT